TTAAAAGATAAATTAAGGGGAGCCTGGGTGGTTCAGTCGGTTAAGCGGGTTAAGCCTGTGACTTCGGCTCAGGTCATGATCTCACGGTTCATGGGTTCGAGCCCCACGTCAGGCTCTGTGCTGACAACCAGCTCAGAGCCTGGAGCCTGTTTCAGATTCTGTGTCTTCCTCTCTCTCTGACCATCCCCTGCTCACGCTGTTTCTCTCTCTCAGAAATAAAATAAAAAAATTTTTTAAAAACATTAAAAAAATTGAAACAAAAACTAAAAAGTAAATTAAAAAAGTAGAAACTCAAAACAACTTACTAGTGTTTTTTAAATTTCCATTTTTAAATGATTCTATCCCATCAAAAAAAAATCTATTTTTCCTCCTACTGCATCATTCGAAATCACCTCTCCTTTGTGTGCCAAGCCCTCATACTCTTCCAGATGCTGGAGATAGGAGGGAAACAAAAGAGACAGAGTCCCAGGATTCAAAGGAGCTTCTGCTCTAAGAAAAGGAGACAAGCTTCCAAACAAGTAATTGCACCGACAATTAATTCTAACTGTGATATGTGGGCTAAGATGGCAGGGTACTGAACACATAATGGAGGGGTAGGAATTATTCTGGAACATCAGAGAAGTCTTTCTCGTTGAAGGGATGCTTAGGTGGACATCTGAAGGAGGAGGAGGGTTAGCCAGGGAGAGAAGTGAAGGAGGGAGATGATCGCGTTCCAGGCAGAAGCACGCGGGCAGGTCTGCGGTTACAAAGGAGCACCGGGCAACACTGTATGGGGAAAATATGGATGGCAGCATGGCAGAGAGGAGAGACTAGAGAGGTGGGCAATAGCCTTGAAGGCCCCGTGCACAGCCCTGAAGGCCCCGTGAAGGTTCAGGGACCCCAGAGAGTATTTTAAGCAGGGGAGTGATGGGATCAGATATTCATCTTTCAAACATCTCTTCAGCTACAGTTTGGAGAATGAATTCTAGCACAAGAGTAAATAGGACATTACTTATGTTAATGGAAGGTGGGGGGGGGGTAGAAGCCATCAAAATCATTGCTGCATATTGGTTCTACGTACATAAGATATATGTGAAAGCTAGAAAATGAACTATAGGGGTGCAGAAATGTGGCCTGTGAAGAAGTAGAGGGAGATGGGAACAGTGTGGACTATATGAAAGTAAAGCTTTATACACATTTAAAAAAAATGTTTATTTATTTTGAGAGAAAGAGAGAGCAAGCACTTGTGTGCGAGCAGGGGAGGGGCATATTGTTTATTTACTTATTTTGAGAGGGGAGAGAGAATCCCAAGCAGGCTGCATGCTGTCAGTGCAGAGCCTGATGCAGGGCTCACACTCACTAACTGTGAGATCATGACCTGAGCCAAAGACAGACCTGTGACCCTAAGACTGCTTGGTTTTCAAGGGAGTTGAAAGTGCTTGCTAAGGAGAGCCCTTTATCACAGAGCTCTGCTGGCTGGAGAGGGAAGTGAAAGAAGGAAGCACAGACAGATAGCTGGCTGGATGCTGACTGGAGGGAGGGACAGATGGAGGGAGGGAGGGCTGGCTGGCTGCACGGATGGAGGAATGGATGAATAGATGGATGGACAGATGGATGGAAGGATGGATGGAAGGAGGGATGGACAGACGGACTGTGAGTGGCACAGCTTTCAAGTCTTCCAGAAATCAGAGCATGTGCAGAGGGCAAGCAAGTGATGAGAGAAAGCTGCGTCTGGAGAGCGAGAGGTCTGAATGAGCGATTTAAGAAATGGAGCTTTTGTTGGTAACAAGCCCTAGAGTGAGGGAAAAGAGTGCACACATGGAATGCAAGAAGCTGATAAACACGGTTAGTGGCTAAGTGGACATTAACACTTCCAGGAATGGGGACAAGTGGCAGAAGAGATAGGGGAACATGTAGCCTGGTGCTAAGTCTTTGATACCTGGCATACAATGAGGTCTGTGAATGACAGGTATCATCCATGTATTTGTAGGACACAGCCTCCAAAGTTCTAGGAGTTTTAGAGAGGAGAAATGATCCGAGGAGCTACTGACCTCACTTCCCAACACCAGGATAAACGGGCAAGAGAAAAAATAAACCGCTCCACCAGAAAAGGTCAGGGAAAAGCAGGGCTCAAGAACACAGCCAAAATTCACGTACATGGGTAACATGCAGAATCATCTTGGGAGCGCTTGGGAAAAGATAACCATTCACAGGTCCTACCCCCAGCCTGATAATTCAGAATCTCTGGAGCCTTGGGATTTGTGCCGTTTGAAAATTCACCAGTAATTCTAACGTGCAAATGGATTTTCAAACCGCTGGTTTAAAGCAGGGGGTTGAAGGGAACTTTGGAGAAAGGGATTGCAGAGAGGTGTTTCTTGATTATGATGGATAACGGCCTGGATGTACAAACAGCACTCCCCATGTGTCCCCCAGGAACAGATACCCACGAGAAGGTAAACGTTAAGCACCATCAGACCCCTCTTCTCTCAAGAGAACTCTGCTTTTTGTCTTCAAGCAGAGTTTCTGATGAAATAACAAGACATGGTCTTTAAAAGGATCCCGTGTGAGCCTGCCTTTTTAAATGCCCTCCACACTTTTTTCAGGTGATGTGGGGGGAAAGCAGGAGCATCACACAAGTATGTACTGAAGAGGTGTTAGGGGTAGTTCCCAGCACTGACACAAAAGAAGCCTCGTCTTTCCCTGCTGCTTCCATCTGACTGACACGGAGCACAACGACAACAGCAATACTAGTTAACCTTCACAGCGTGCTGTGTATCAGGCCCTAGACTTGTGGTTTACACTCACCATCTCATTTAATCCACACAGTCCCTGGGAAGTGAGTCCCTGGGCCCCAGGGGAGTCCACTGGGACTTCCGAGAGCTAAGGGACCTGCCCAAGGTCACCAGCTCTAAAGTAATGTAAGCAGAGCCCACCTCCATTTTGTCCAGCCCTGGCAGCCTCTCTCCCCTGGCAGGTGGAGATGTAATCTCACCTTGTCAGGACGGAGGGGCACCTCATTGGACGGTGACACTTCGGGACCTAGCAATTGCCAGGATGATCCTGGGTGGTATTTCTTAGCCCTGCTTAAGTTAACTCCAATTCTTTTCTTCTTGTCTTCCGTAATTTAAAATTAGGTAAATTTAATCTCTCCCTTCTTGGCTCAGATTTACTGCAAATTAAACACGCGAGTATTAATAATGGAAATAATTTCCCCTTAAAAACACATCCTGAAACTGGATGTGGGGCATTTCCAATATATCCATAAAGCAAACAAGACAGCTTAATTGTTTGTTTCTCCAAGGAAGGAAGCTAAACCCGGAATTAATTTGGTTCAGCCTGTGAAACAATTCGTTTGCTCTGCCTAATTCTGCCAATTAAAGAACTTTTTCCCAGACACAATTAGCATGTAAAGCAGTGGCACAAAGCGAAGAAGGGGCCTCAATGATCCCGGCGGGGTGGAGGTGTTGGACGAGAACCCCTGGGGACCCTCTTGGTCTCAACTTTGGGGCGGAAGGAGCGCGCCGGAGGGTGGGGGGGGGGGTGGGGGCGCACGGAGGAGCTCCAAGACCCCTTTGACAGTGGCCCTGCCATCACCAGCCGAAATCAGGGCGTCGAACGGCGCCGCGGAGGATCCGGCCCGGGTCCCTGAGAGCCCCTGAGGCAGGAGTGCGCACGGGAGCCCGCCGCCCCCCACGCCCCTGGGCACTGGCCAGGAGCCTGCCCCCGTGCTGCGGGGGCTGCGCGCGCACCCAGGGCCGCGCCCCCCATCACCAGGGATCTGTAGCTTGCGCTTAGGCTGGGGATAGCGGCCCCTGCTGGCAGCTCTGGAGAAGAGCAAGAGACTGACTTTCCCTCACCCTTCTCGCCACCTTTTCCAGGTGGTTTGTAGGAAAGAAAAGAAAAAAAAAAGGTATATACAGGGTGTTGTCTCATGTGCGCTTATTCTTCGTGAGTCCCCAAGAGCAGATGTCTGTGCGTAACTTGCGTTCCCCGCAGAAACAGTAGAAAGAAGAACGTGGGTCCTTGTCCCCATGAGGGAGCAGGTACAGTTTCTAATGCATTTATTTGAGGTCACTTGGCCTAAGGGCAACTGGGACCCTGCTCCTCCTCCCAAGTGCTTTTCACGGCCGCCCCCGTGACGGGTAGATGTTGCTTGGCGGCCCAGGCTACTTTCTTTAAAGGCCGTGGCTCCAGCCCGCACTCTCTGCGAAGCCCACTGGGGAACGGCGGCCACCTCCACAGTGGTTAGTGGGGCATGTGGGCGCGGCGGGGAGCGAGCGGCGGCCCCGGGGGGCTGGACGCGGGGTGGCCTGGCCGGCTGGCGTAAGCCTGTAACCGCGAAGCTTTCTGGCGACTGCAAGTTCAAGCGGCCGAGGAGGGCTGTGCCTGCCATTCTTCGTGTGATCCTAACAATAGCGCTGTGTAAGAAGTTGGGATTTACTTCTTTCGCGAAGCTGTTGGGTTCTCATTGGAATGGTCTGCGTCCTATTTCTGAAGTTTACTTATATTTCCAAGGACAGCCCACACACTTTCTAAGTTTCAAAACGGACTGTGGCTGTTGGTGACACCATTCTTTGTACTGCAGTCAACGTGCTTACTTAACATGCTGTATGTGCGTTAACTAATAGCAGTGTTCATATCTCCAGCGTGTGTATGTGTGTGTGTGTGTGTGTGTGTGTGTGTGTGTTAACCGCATCGGCTTTCGTCCAATTCATCTGGGCGCATAGGGTGTCCATCACTTCTGAAATCTACCTCTTGATACAGTAATCAGAATTAGAAAGGCTCATCGTTCACTTACCCTCATCCTTTAAAACTTTTCCATTTAAGAAAATCGATGAACAGATCCTTTCTTGTAACTCGCTCCTGCACTACGTCTATTTTTATTTATTTTTCTGATTTGGCAGGGCTCAGCAATGCTGTCCGGGATTTTTTTTTTTTTTTTTCTTTGCTAGAGCAGATGTGGGGGTGGGGGAAGCAGGGGCTGGGCTCCAGCCTGAGTCAATCCCACCGGGACCTCCACCCAGCGCGCGGCGGGGCCGAGAATGCTGGTGGAAGAAAGCCTCGCTGACCGGTCGGTTCAAGGCTCCACCTGCAGCCACACCGCGTAGGCTCTCCCTCTCTCGGCCACGCTCGCTCACATTCACACACAAACACCACAGCCCTCCTTTGGGTCGGAGGAGACGCCAGCCAAAGGAGGCGGGGTTGCAGGCGGAGAGTCCGCTCTGCGCAATCCAGTCCGGGACTTGGCTCCGCCCGGGAGCAGCGGCCTCTCCAGTGACAGAGGAGTAGTGAGCGGCACCGGGTGAGGCTGCAGCCAACTCCGCTCCCCGTCACTCGGCTGCCCAGGCGCTCGGGACGCAGCAGCGGCGCTTCTCCGCGGGGCTCACCGCCCGCGATGCCCGCTTAGGAGCGGCGGCAGAGGCTAGCATCGCCACACCCGCGGCACAGCCCTCGCGGTCGCCGAGCGGGGCTACAGCCTGCCCCCCCTGCCCCAGCCCCCACCCCGCCCCCCACCCTGAAATGACTTGTTAATCGGCGCAGACACCACCGAAGGGACTCACCGGAGTGGAATCCAAGTGGAATTTGGACCTGGAGAAGAGTTTCTTGAACATTTACTCCTTCCTTGTTGGTTTTCTTTCTTTCTTTCTTTCTTTTTTTCCTCTCCCCTTCTGCGCCTGTCATTGGAGATGAACACAGCGCGTTTGCATCCCAGAAAGTAGTCGCCGCGACTGTTACCCCCAAAGAGACAAGCACACATGTAGGAATGACAAAGGCTTGCAAAGGAGAGAGCGCAGCTTGCGGCCCGGAGAGATCTCCTCGATAATGGATTACTAAATGGGATACTCGCTGTACCAGCCCGCTCCGAGCCCCGGCCGCCCGCCCGTCGATGCACCGAAAAGGTATGGCTGGGGCGCCCTGGCGCGCCCTGCCTCTCTGGGCGGCTCGGCTCCGGCCAGCGGGTCCCGGGGCCGCGGCCGGCACGCGCTGTCGGCTTTGTGGTAGCTGCGTTTTATTTTGTCTGGTGTCTTGTCTCCCGAGCGTTGCCGGGCCCTTGGGGAGCAGTCGTGAGCCCAGCCCGGCGCTCCTCTCCGCCCTGTGCCCGGGAGACCGCTGGGCTCCGTGTTGCGCGAGCTTCCCCACCCGCGCCGCGCACACGCCCGGCGCCGCCCGGGACCGCGACCGCGCGGCGCTGCCCGGCTGGGGGATGTGTGTGCAGGACCCGGGGCTCGTCCTCACTTTCTGGCCAACGGGCAGCAGAGAGGCCCCGAGAGGGTGGGATTTTCAGAAGCGTCCAGTCCTGGTGCAAAGGCTGGGGAAGGGGTTTTGCCCTCGAGGGCTGGCGAACGTTGGGTAGAAGAGCGCTGTTTTCGCCCAGCACCGGGTTTGGGTTCTGGGGTGGGAAAAGAGGTTCCGCAGAGACGGTGGGAAAGCGAACAGAATCTTTTGTTGTCCGCCCGGGGTCTGGGCTGGGCTCTGTGGAGTGCGGGGAAACTTGTAATGGCCCTGGTACCCGTGCGCCCTGCCACTTGGTGACATCCCGGCTTTCGCGGCTGCTGGCACCAGAGGTTCCGGGCTTTGTTTGCTCGAGAGAGTGCCCAGGAACGGTCTCCTCCCGGTGTGGCGTGGCGCTCCCCGCTCTGGGTTCTGTCCCCCGCTGCAGCTCCCTTCTGGCCGGGCGAGGACGGCATCTGTCGCAGCTGCGTTCCCCTCTAGCACAGGGCCCTCCACGCCGGGGCTTGGCGCCCGCTGCGCTCTCCTCCAAAATCTACGAGGTCCCTCCAGGGAAAGGAGTTGTCCCTGAGCGGGAAGGGTGGGAAGACTTGGCAAGAGATGACCCAGTACTTGCTACCCAGACCAGGGCTTTACCCGGCCCACAGGTTCTGGATGTCCGAACTACTCGTGGCGTCCTACAGAGCTGCCTCGCGGGCCGTGGGGCGCTCGGGAGCTAGCCCGACAGTGCCCACCCACCCTGTAAGACCCTGCTGGGGTGGGCAGTGTCTCTTCTCCAGATTCTCTTTTATCTCAGCTCCCCACTGTGGTACACAGTGCAAAGCGGGATCCTGAGGTCCGCTCCCTCCTCCCTTGACCCGAGCGGTAACGGGGGAGCCAGGGAGCAGTCCCGAACTTGTGCGTTTCGGGAAAGGAAACAGGATTCGGCCGTCTTTCCCGCTCCCTTGCCTCCCCTCCGCCCGGCGCCGCCTCCTTTTCCACCACTGGGTCCCCCGACCAGGCGCTTCTGGAAAGTTTCTCTGAAAGCCAGGGGCGGCGAGCACGACAGGATTGGGGCTCAGCGTGTGCTGTCCGCGGGAAACCGAACCCAGAGGCAAGCGGGTAGACCGCCCAGGATGCGGGGAGTTGGGTGCTGACCCACAGACCGTGGCGTCCGAGGCCCACAGTCAGTTTGGATGGTGTCTCAGCGCTGCACTAGCTGGACCTGTCGAGGAAGGGGGTGGGGGGAAGATACGGGGGAAGAGGGAGGATTTAGGGTGCTGGTGCGGCCACTGGACAGCGGCTGGCGCACGGATGCCCAGGAGCCGGGACTCACTGGCTTGTAAGTACCAGTTCCAAGCGCAGCGTCCCCAGGCTCCCCCTCCCCAACCCCCTCCTTGCCACGCGCAGTTTTCCAGCCAGCGGGTTTCCAGGGAGAGGCGGAGCAGGGAGCCAGGTGTTCATGGAGCGGGGGAGGAACTGCTGTCTTCACAGCCAAGGAGAGCACTTACAGCCGCGGCCAACGGCCTGTATCGCAGTGGGCAGCCCCAATGTCCCTTCCGAGTCGGTCCTTGGGAGAAAGGTGACTGGCTGCTTTGAGAATGCGGTGGCCAGTGACGGCCACGGTGGGATCGCTTTCTGCTTCCGCTGGATGGAAATCAAGTTGCTACTTGCTGAGGGGGATCCATGAAAGGATTAAAACACAGGCAGGCGCGGAAACGCGCGCGCGCACACACACACACACACACACACACACACGCAGATGCTTGCACTTGTACGCACAACTTTCTCTGCCTCAAATCTGAAAAGATGTTTCACCCAGATACAGTGTTCTGCCAGCAGGTCTCAGGAAAGCTACGCAATGCCCCCCAGCGCTGGTTTTTAAGTCTTTCCGGGGTAGGGAGGTCGAGTGCCTCTGCCTTGGCTAATCCCGGTAATCGTTGGTCTTCCTTCGGACATATATCTGGGGCATCAAGTCCTCTCTGATGGCAGAGGAAAGACTGTTGGTTCCAGACACATGAATTCTTTATTTAGGCCTTTTCCCTAAAAGTAAAGATGCCCGTGCCTGATTTTGAATGAAAATATCGTATTTTTATACCTCATCCAAATGGCTACCAGAGGTCAAGATGGCAAGCATTCTGTACGTGTTTTTTTTTTTTTTAATGCCATGTTTAGTCTGCATGGAGCATTTTTATGATTTACAGTAAGCTTTGATTAAACTACTCCAGGCACCAAAGTTAATTATTATCCTAACCTTAAATGCAGTGGCGGACTGGTGTCTCCACCTATTAACCTAAACTATCTGTTAAAATATAATTGCACTCACTATTTGAATATGGTTTGCCCATGCTTGTTTACCTGCTAACTTTTATTTGAAACTTGAGTAACCCCCACCCCGTATGTTTATTTTGGTTGTAGGATATTCTTAAATGGGGCACTTTGCAAAACAATCTGAAAGCAGAAAAGGATGGAATATCAGGCTTAAAACCGCATTTCTGTGTTGTCTTTTTTCAACGTGATATAAACAAGCATTCCAGCTCCTGTTTCTTACTTACAGTGTTCCCAAAGTGTTATGTTTTGCAACTACCCCCCGTGTGGAGATGGGCCGCACTCTTGAAAAATGCATGTAATCCACATATGTAAATGTTAAACAGAGAGCCAAAATCATGGTCTCAGGAGCCATCTGTAAAATATATTGATTGCATAAAATATCTGTTTAAATAGGTTAAAAATTCCTAAGAACTGGCATAGAAACTCAAATGTTGAATGGATAAGTCAATGAAAGAAATAGCCACAAATGATTTTCACATGTCTCCACTTAGAGTGGACCCGGTCCCCGCGCCCCGCCCCCGTGGCTTCAAATAAGTGGTTATTATCAAGTGGCAATAAGTGCAACTCTTTATTTACACACAGTCACACACACACACACACACACACACACACACACACACACACACGGCCCTCAAGTTCCTTCCAAGTCTAGTGAATGCTTTTCCCATCATTAAAAAAATATAGCATTTGCATTTTGAGTAGGCGGATAACATTGCTTAGTATGTTGAATCAGAAGGATGGCAAGAATTAGGAAGACTGTTATCTTCCCTGAATAAAAATAAGACACCCAGATTAGGAACTTGTATTAAATTCAAAATAAATACTCATGCTTTAAAAGCAAATGGGCAATTGCACTCACACATGAAATGGAAGGAAAAATACTGTTTTGAACGGGGAGGTAAGTCAGATTCTTTACTATGTGTACAGAGTGGTTCAGCTCTTTTCTGAGCAGGACAAAAGAGTGATCATGGGAAAAGAAGTTTTTTGGAACTAGATTGCCAAAAGCGAATATATTCTCCCATCCTATTTGTTTGCAGAAAGGAATCACGGAACAAGCCAAACTAATTGCAAATGCTTTAATTAAGCATCTGCCGTTTGCAGCAGTATGTAAAGCCTGAGAGAGACTGCACGGATCTCTGTGTGGTTCTTCCCCCTCCCCCACCCCAGGTTTAGGCAATTTATTGTCTTCTTCTTACGGTGGGTGTGCCTGGGGGTTCACACATCCAGAGGAAGGCGGAGCCTGTAAACATCCTGCTGTGCCCTCCCAAGTCAGTGTCCCCCTACTCTCAAGGTACCTGGGAGCCAAGTCCTCTCTGAGTATTTCTACTCCATGGGGAAGGCTTTTCTCATCCACTGAGCTATTCTCTGCTGGCAACCACATGGCTGCCTCCTGGGGATATGGTAAGGTAGAGGAGGGCGGGAGGCATTTAATCCCTCTGAAATGGGCAAGTAAGATGTAATACCACACAAACCTCAAGGGGGAGGAGGCAGTACAGGCTCCTTCTCAGCATGGGACTGTAACAGTGGAGTATATACACAAGGGCATCCTGCTTTGTGAAGCAGGTGAGTTCTTGCAAAACTTTCTGATTAGAGAAATTCTAATTACGCTAATGGAGAGTGTCCTATAAAAGTGTCAGTACTCTGATGTTTCCCAAGAAACCTCTTCCGCCCAGACCTCTCTCTCTTGGGGCTCTCCAATAGTAAATGCCTGCAGGATAGGTAGCTCTTCTTGGGTCTAGTAGGCACCTCCAACCTAACATGTTTAGAACACCCGATTTTGGATCTTTCCCCCAAGATAGGATTTTTGTATCATCTTCTCCATCTTGGTAAATGGCAGAGCTGCTCGCATGTAACAAGAGTTATCCTCGACTCTTCTTTTTTCGTAATCACATCCACTCTGGCTCAAGGCTGCTGACCCCTCCTTCAGAATGCGTGAGGGCGCCCTCCAGGGCTTCTACCACTGTGACCCTCACAGTGGCCAAGCCAGTGTCCTCTGCTACTGGGTTACTGTGCCAGCCTCCCAGCCAGTCTCCCTGCTCTGCTCCTGGCCCCCTATAGTCTTTTCTCAACACAGCAGCCAAAGTGACTTTTTAAAACATTGAAGCCAGGGGGCGCCTGGGTGGCTCAGTCAGTTAAGAGTCCGACTCTTGGTTTCTGCTCAGGTCACATGATCTTGCAGTTTCATGGGTTCAGGCCCGCATCGGGCTTTGCGCTGTCAGCACAGAGCCTGCTTGGGTTTCCCATCTCGTACTGGAAAAAGCCAGAGTCTGTCCTATGGCATTTGTGGCCCTATGTGATCTGTGCTCTGGTCCCTACCTCACTCTCACCCCTTTTTGGGGTTATGTGAATATGCCAGGTG